CTTATGCTTACGCATTATGCGTTGTGCAGAATTGTGTGCTCCCCGCTTATAATGGCCATCGCGCACAAAATTGTATAGGTTGCATAAGCATAGCATAAGACCGCTGGACCAATGAGCATCTTATGTAAATTAATATTGCGACTTTATGCTGGATGCTCATTGGTTTAGCGATCTTACGCTACGCATATGCTAAGCTATGCATTTTGTATGCGATGGCCTTAAGGCGTGTCAACTCTGAACCTACTTATCATACGGCAATCTCGGACTCATAGCTTGACGTTTTGATTGTGGATGACGTAAATAAGGTTTTATCATTCACTAAATCTCAGAGTCCTTTTATTGCTGGCCATGATTTCATTGCGTCGTCTATGTCACTTAATTCTAATCTGATATCTGAACGTTCTATTTCACGGCGAAACTACAGGGACATTGATTGTTTGGTGTTCTGAATATCTTGGATCCATCGCTGGTACAGTGCGGACTGAGATTAATGAAGTGACTAACGATGCTGATGTTGATAGATTCTGTGAGATGCTGTCTAGTAACCTGTTAAGGGCACTGAATATATTTGCTTTTATTCGTGTATTTGCAATTAGGAAGCCTTCAGCGCGGTGGCTTACTGATGAACTTAAGACCCGGATGCGTGTTTGCAATCAATTATATAAGCAGGCAAAACGTTCTAGCAGTTTGCTTAGCTACGCCACCTACAGATTTTTTCGCAACCAGCTTAATACTGACATTAAACGTGCCAAAAGTGAGTTTTAATTTGATTCTCTGAAAAACATCACAGATCATGCAAAACTTTGGAAAGAACTAGCTCGTCTCAGTCTTGTAAGATCAACCTTAGTTTATCCTCTACATTTTTTTTACACCTGATTAGTTAAACTCATTTTACGTTTCAGTTTCTACTGCTCTGTTCCCTTGCTCATATGCTGATTTTATTTCTGCCACTGACCAGATCACTACGGGACCTCTTCATTTTTATGCGTCGGGTTCGGACAACCTCTTTATATTTTGCGTATTGCTTGGCCTACGATTTCATCGTAGCTGCTTTATTTAACCGCTCATTAGAAACTTCTTCATTTCCGTCTTAGTGAAAGCGGGCGCTTATCTGCCCTTTTTCTAAAATCGTATTCCTCTATCCCCGTCTGATACGCGACCGATAGCCAATCTGCCCGAACTGTCTAAAATACTTGAAAGGATCGTTGCCTCACAGATCACTGACTACTTAATCAAGCATGATCTCATAAATCCTAGACAGTCCGCGTACCGCCCGAGTTATAACACTCAGTCGGCACTTCTGCGTGTGGGAGCGTCCCGTTTGACCACGTTAATATTTACCACGGTCCCAATTGACCACGTTGATATTGAACACGTTGCAATTGACCACGTTGCGATTGACCACGTTGTGATTGACCACGGTCTCGATTGACCACCGTCCCGATTGACCATGGTCCCGATTGACCACTATCCCGATTGACCACCGTCCCGATTAATCACGGTCCCTATTGACCACGTTGAAATTGACCACGTTGAAATTGACCACATTGAGATTAACCACGTTGCGTTTGACCACATTAATATTGACCACGTTGCGATTGACAACGGTCCCGATTAACCATCGTCCCGATACTCCCGATTGACCACCGTCCCGATTAACCACCGTCTCGATTGACCACGGTCGCGATTGACCACCGTCCCGATTGTCCACAATCTTGATTGACCACCGTCCCGATTGACCACGGTCACTATTGACCACGTTGAAATTGACCACGTTGAGATTGACCACGTTAATATTGATTACGTTGCGATTGATTACGGTCCCGATTGCCCACGGTTTTTATTAATCACGGTCTCGATTGACCACGTTGATATTGACCACAATTCCGATTAACCAAGTTGATATTGGCCACGGTTCCGATTGGCCACGGTCCCGATTGACCACCGTCCCGATTGACCATCGTCCCGATTGACCACGGTTCCGATTGACCACTGTCCCGATTGACAATCGTCTCGATTGACCACCGTTTTGATTGACCACGTTGATATTGACCACGGTTCCGATTGACCACGGTTCCGATTGACCACAGTCCCGATTGACCACCGTCCCGATTGACCACGGTTCCGATTGACCACCGTCCCGATTAACCACGATTGAGCACGAGTTACAATATTAAGCAGTTCCTGAGATATATACAGGGTGTAGAAAAACTAAGTTTCGTAAATTTGTTTAATGAAAGAAGGAATAAATACACCAACTTTTAAGTATAGGAACCATGGGTCAACGACGCTTCGTTACGGCGTGATGGGCGTTTAATTAAATTGTCACAACGACTGCGATGCAATGATTTTATTCCATCAATTTAACATGTTTACAATAGAGACCTTCTATACAGAGTCTGGCTATAAGCGATTTTGTCCAAATCCTGCGAGAGGAAGGATATAACATTATTATGTATGTACAACCACTGAGATATAAGTAATATCTCAGTATTTACAACACAATAATTTTACGAGAGGTTATGAAATCTGTCATAACAACTTCGTGGAAAAAATGTATGTTAACAGGGGTGCGTTCCGTATAAACGTCCGGACGACAACTTTTTGTCCAAAACCGTTCCGTTTACCAAGGTGTGACGTCATAACTGCGTTCCGTTTCACAATTTCCAAACGCCCGGACGACAACTTCTCGTCGTGCTCGGGACTCCGACGAGAAACGTCTGACATGCGCAGAACGGCGTGGTGTAATAAAGCGCGACGGTCAAATACATGTGGATTTGCGTTGTAGGTTATGTTTATGTTCTGTTATGAAACTGGCAATACATAGAGGACATGTTGACATGTAATAAGCTATTTTTTTACTGCCTAAAATAGCTTATTACATGTTAGGATGTTCTTTATGTATTGCCAGAGTTTCATAATTTTTTGAATTTCCGAGTTGGGAATGTTCCCTTATAAGTTTAATGTTATTTATTTGTAGATAGAACCTGTTAATGGATAATTTAAAGGCAGCTAGTTTAATTGTGATCAGTTATTTAAGCAAATTAATATTCTTTGATCTAAATAACAACAATGATGATGAAGATAGCGACGAAGAAATGATATTGTATTTGGACAGATTGAAAGTCCGCATTAATAATCCAGCAACCAGGCCTCATCGCATTGAAGGTTTTATCGAAAGAGTTATTGATATGTCTACTGCTTCCGAATTTCAAAGTCACTTCAGAATAACCGTGACAAGCTTTCAATGGCTCCTAAATAGAATAGCTCCTCTATTAGAAAGTGCTCGAGCAGCTGGACACCAAACTACAGATCCAAAAATACAATTACTCGCCTTTTTATGGCTATTAGCAACACCAGACAGTTTTCGGTAAGTAAACAAGTTATAAAAAGTGCAAAATATTTATTTTGTAGTTTAACATTTTTGTTATTCTGCAGATCAGTCGGTAGTCGTTTTGACCTAGGAAAGTCTACACTATCTGCTATTTTTATGCGGGTTGTGACTGCTTTAAATGAAATTTCTCCAGAAATTATATTTTGGCCAAATGTTGAACAACGCCAACGCATAGCACTATCTTTTCAAGCTTCTGCTGGAATAGAAGGCATAATCGGTGCTATCGATGGAACGTATATTGCTATCAAGGCTCCAAGTGTAAATCCGGATGTTTACATTAACAGAAAATGTTTTCATGCCATAACTCTGCAAGTAATATGCGAAAATAGAATGTCAATTCTTGATTGCTTTGCGGGTTATCCTAGCAGAGTATCAGATATAAGGATTTTTCGAAATTCGCCAATATACGAAGAATTCATGAATCATTCGAATAATTATTTTGATGAAAGGCAATTTATTATCGGGGATAAAGCATATCCCGTTTTCCAATGGTGTATACCTCCCTACATCGAGAGAAGAAATGTTACCGAAAGGCAAAAACATTTCAATACTTGCCATGCCAAGTCTCGCCAAGTAGTTGAACGTTGTTTTGCCCTTTTATTTGGAAGATTTAGACGACTTAAATATTTAGACATGAATCAAACAGACTACATAGCACCAACAATAATTGCTGCATGCGTTTTACACAACGTATGTTTAAATAATGAAGAAAATCAAGAAATACGAGACATGTTTATAGATGAAGGGCTTCAAGCAGTGGTGGATCATGCTGACAATGTTAATAATGAAGCAGCTAATTACGAAATAAATGCACAAGAACTGGGAAGAGAAGGTCACGCATTACGAGACAGGATCGCAGAAAATTTGTATCCGTTTCAATAAATCACAAATTTCATGAATCATTGGTTTTATTTCATAATCTAACATCACTTTTCACATTTACAGTTTATTACTCCGTATTTTCGATCTTATTCAAAAATATAGTTGTATTTAAAAACCTTTTTCATCTTATAAAATTGGAAAGTTACATAACATGTAATAGATAATATAGTTTTTCTTAAAAGCTACTAATTGAGCACAAAGTATTTTAACTCAAATAATTTTACTTATAAGCTACTTGAACGTTAACTATATTTCAAATATAATATATTTATTTATTTTGCAATACTTACAGGTAATAATAGTATCACATATAATGTAAAAGTAGTATCACATCAGTCTAAAAGTAAAATATCACGTCAATTTCAGTCTTACTTTTTACAACAGATAAATCAAAAGCTCGGTTAAAAGTTTTATTCCAGAATTACAGCACATAACATAAAAGAACTGTTGTAAAAAAAATTAAAGTATTTCTTTGGTATAACAATCTCCATTACCTTAGTGATTTACCTTGCAATACAATACGAAATGTTATTGTATGAATTTATAACTTTTATAAAATAATAGAATTATATAAGCTAAATAAAAACCTCATATTGAAAACAAAAAGTATTTTATACTTTCTAAGTGCGATTATCCGTAATCATTAAAACAAAATGTTATTAGCAATCTTTAAAAATAAGAAAACAAAATAAAATATAATATAATATTAATCTTATCAAAATGATTAATTTTTAGTATTTGGTAAGTTTGCAAATGAATTTGCAATATTTTCTAAAATTTTTAGAGCTGCATCTTGTCGAGCCATTAACTCATTATGACGTTCTTCTTTTTTAGCTTCCCTTTCTTTAAAATTTTGGTCGTATGTACTTAGTTGTTTTGCTAATTCACTTCTTTTTCTTATCTTCGACTTTTTATTTTTCTTCGTTGTAATCTCTTCATCGTCACTGCATGAATTTTCTTCAATTTCAATCGATGATGTTTTGGATGCACGTTTAATCCCTCGTAAAGAAGATGCAGTTGACACTGGCTGCACGTCAGGATCCTGACCAAATATTTCGTCCATTTCAAAAAAGTAATCGAATTTTATCGAACCTGCTCCACTGCTCTTTTGACCCATGTTATCTTTCTTTTCCATATACTTCTGTTTCAGATATTTAAATTTGTTTTTTATTTGCTCAGTTGTGTGCATCGGTAACTTTTGAGCTATCATGTCCCATACTTTATCCTTTTTCATTGTCGTGCTTTTAAATAGATGTTCATGAGACTTATATAAACTTATTAGCTCTATAATCTCATTTCGATTCCAAGAAGTTCTGCTTGTAGTGTTGTTTTCTTGTTCATTATCTGTAATAAGGTCAGATCTTGAAGACTCCGTTTCAGCTTGAATTCCAGCGTTTGGAAATAATGTAGCAGCTTGGGAAGAAGTAATAAATATTAATGCATTTCCTGTAACAATAAAACAATATTAAAATTTTTAATATTTATAGCCATCCTCAAAATTTATGTGCGAATAATGAACAAAAACATTTTTACATAACCTCTATAATTTATACCACAAAAGTATACGTTTACATAACATACAAATAGAAGCACTTACCAGGTTGTTGTTGAACCAGAATATTTCCTGATTCATCCCTGATAACATTTCCGTTCGGCTCAGTTACAAGTACGTAATTCATGTTTTTTGTGTTACTTTAAAATATAATCACAAAGCATACAGGAATATGGAACATGTATATCATATATGCGCAAGCGCAACGACGTCCAAGAATCGTTCCGTTTCACGAGACAACCTCGAGTGTGACATCACACTTCGCCCGGATGAACACTCCGGCATACGGAACGCACCCCTGTTATCAAGGAAGTATAGCTCTACTTTGTAGACGAATAATATTCACAAAGTTTCACCTAAATTTGAGCATGGACGTTTTCGGAAGTACAGCCGCGATTGGTCGAAACCTTATGTTTATGGAAAAGTTGACAGATCATATTCATATGTACAGCAGATCGTAAAATAAATTCAAAAAAATGAAGCAAAAGAAAATTGGAGCAAAACGCCCTTATCCTTCCGATCAATCAATTAACCTTAAAAATGACCGATTGAATCCGATTAAAAATTTTGAATCCGCATGAATCTGGATTCTTGATCCGGAAATCACGGATTTATAACGATTACACCGACTGAAAACGATTGAAACGGATTGGTATTCAAGGATGTAATTTCAATCGGATTCTATCGATTTGAATTGTTATGATTTTATAACGATTACACTGATTGAAAACGATTGAAACGGATTGGTATTCAAAGATGTAATTTCAATCGGTTCCTATCGGTTTGAATCGTTACACGCAGAAAATTTTTCTCGAAAATACAAGTATACACGAACAAAGTAAATACCATACTAATCTTGCACGGCTAGGATATCGTCATAATATGCAAAAGATTTCAAGAAAGTATAGGAAATTTAGAGAGCAAAGAATAAAAATATGGCTGATGGACAAAAAACGAGACGTCTGTTGCAGTCATGGCAAAAACATAAGTTGCTATTATAGGCTATGGCGGTCAGCTGTCCGCCACGAGCAAACTTGAGAACGCTGTAGAAACCCTGCCGAGCTGCCCTAGATATAGGGGTCGATGTTGAATCTTAATCACGCGAGAATATACCGGCGATGCGCCGCGTAGCGGGCGCGAACCGAACCCTTTCACCGCGCGAGCCCGCGTTGCCGCTCGCACCGCGCGCCTTCCGTCGTTAGTATAGGACTTTTTTTACTTTTCTTATATTTCCTTGTTATAATCCGAGAGGTAGCGACACAAAAGTGTCAGCGATTTTTTATTAGTCTTGGAACAAAGTAATTTCTCTTGTTTTAATAGTGTTGTTGATGAAATGCAGAGTCTGGCTGCGCTGTCTCGCTGGAATGGGCGTTGCGGCGCCTTTGATCTTGTCGAAAAAACACTTATGTTGGAAGAATTTGATTAGTGCTGAGCTTTTATATATTTATTGTTTTTTATATAAAGAAATGTTTTAGAAAAGTCTGGCATGCAACTGACACTGGAAAATGAGTCTGGCATCCTCCCAAAGTCGTTGTAAAAAGTCGATTTGTAGAATCATTTGATTAGAGCTGTAACTTGTCAAGATGGTAGTTTAAATATATAAAATTATAAAAAAATAAGTCTGGCTACTTGTACTGGCTGAAAAATTGGTCTGGCACCTCCTTTAAAGTCGTCTGCACGAGCGCGCCGGTAGCTCGTTGCCCGCCGTATCTGTAATATTATTAACGCATTACTCATTGAAAAAGATTTTACTTGTCCCAAAGGAGAAACGTAAACGATTTCGTGCTTATTAGTAGTGGAATGATGTGTAATTAATTATGTAATAATCAGAAATAAAGTAATTTAAAAATAAAACTATATTTTAAAGTTGTCAACATTATGAAAGTATACGCTTATAAAAAGTCAATTAACTTTATTTATTAAAATTATTAATTTATTTATCTGGATAATCTGTAATCAAACTTTCAATTTCTGATGAACTTTTATTTTCATCATCGGTGAGCTCGGTATTGTTGGTATCGTCATCGGATTCTTGTTCGATTTTCTTTGATTGAGTACGTTCATGATCTGAAAATGATTCAAAGTTAAATTTATTATTAAAATTACACGATTTTAATAAGCTGCGATAAAAACCAAACTTTTACGAACTAAACTAATTAACTCGTTTTATTTGCAAAAAAATAATTATTATCTTAAAATCATATTTCTAAAGTCATGATTAAAGGTTTATTAACAGTATTTAAACCAAAACTCTTTATATTTTTATAAACTAAAATTAATTTTTTAATTTTTTAAAATATGTAAATAATTCCAACGGCACTTTTTATTTATATCAATTAATTTAACAATGTTCCAAGTACATCTGGGAATTTTTTCAAGCTGATCGCACTCGTCAATTTAAAATGGTAGACGATCAAAGTGTGTGTAGGGTCAGATTGACCCAGTGTGTTCTTTTGGAAAAAAAAGTTTTTTACGAAAAAAAAATTTTTTTTTATGTTTAATATTTTTGGCTAAAAATTTTTCTGGCAAAAAAAGGGGTCAAATTAACCCTGTGTGTTCTCGAAGGGTTAAATAAAAACATTTTACAGTTTTGCAAATATAGAATTCATGACTTTACCAAAAGGAAATCCTGTAGTAAGAACTCTATTACGTAAAAATTATGTGTTATATACAATTTTAATGATTAAAGCGGATTTAATCTGATTCACATAGCTACTTTCACTACCCAATTTAAATGGATTAAGCGCAGATACGATTGAAACCGATTGAGTAGAATTTAGATGAATCCGGAAATATCGCATTAAATCCGATTCCGGTGTTGTATTAAAATTTCACGATTGATGCGGATTGAATACGATTCATGTGGTCATTTTATTTACCCGATTAAAATGGATTAGGATTAATACGATTAAAACCGATTCAGTCGGATTCAAATGAATCCGGAAATATCGCATTAAATCCGATTTCGGTGTTGTATTAAAATTTTACGATTGATGCGGATTCAACACGATTCATGTGCTCACTTTATTCACCCGATTAAAATGGATGTGCATTAATACAATTGAAACTGATAACGACGGATTCAGATCAATCCGGAAATGCCGAATTAAAAACGATTCCGATTGATTTGTTATTAGAACCGATTCACTTCCAATCGGGCATCCGATTAACCGGA